CGTGAGAGGTACCTATCTAATATGTTTTGTAATAATAATAATAATGATGATAATGATATTATGTACAAATGTACAATGATTATTTAAAAATGGACCTCGTGCGCATTAAAGTGAACCCAAGTGTGTCGGCTTTACTTTTTTTTTGAGACTCGTCCGCATACTGGTTTTCTCCCCGCCGCAGCTGCCTCCACCCGTCGCCTCAGCCGACTCGCTGTCGCCACCGCGCCACTGCCCGACCATCGTATTGTGCATTTGTGCCCTACTACAAAAATACGCCGCCGCAACATGTTCCTCCAATGGACATGGAATTGTATATTATTAATATTATTATTTTGAAGTTCGGAATCGGGATTCGGGATTCCGCCGACTGCCGAGCCAGCCAGCCAGCCGCGTGTTGGTCGCGCCCCGTCCGTCATCCGTCACGCTGCCGTCCGTCCGTGCGCGACGTTCGCAGTCTGTGCCACTAGTGCCAGTCCCGCCGTGTCCGACGCACTCGTATCGTGTCCGTCCTATAAAACGTAATTTTACACTCGTACAATTTTTTTTCATTTTTGTAATTTTTATTATTGAGTGATGTGTGTATTGTAGACAACAATTTAAATTTAATTTACTTATAGGTAAGCGTAGGTAATACTATTATAATATATTACTTTCTAACACTTTATAATTTTTTTTTTAATTTCCCATCGATATTCGAAGAGTTTCCCGCGCGTTCTTTCGACCGGTCAGCGCGTCTTTTTTTTGGGTACCCGTTGACGGTAGGTATGCTTACCCATGTAAATATGGATATTTTATTAATATGCACATCAGATATAGGTAATTACTAATTACTAAATTTTATATACGTACTCTAGATATAATAATAATATATAATTTTATGTACGTACATAATATTATGGTATATTATCAATATAATTATTGTTGTTATTTTTGAATCAGACTTCAGGCACTTGGGTACGTATTATATTACTCTACGTGTAAATAATATAATGTATTTATTCTGCAGGTATTCCCGTACTAGACGATACCTATGCCATACTATATTATACGTCACGATGTTCTGATCGTACTGATACGCCTAGGTCGACGGATTGTCGTCATTTCTCGAAATAGACGGGGATCTTGGGTACCTATATCGGCTAAATCCATGTATCAATGTATGTTTTATTTATTTATTTAGCTTCGTTTATAATATTCAAGCAGATTTTCAGTTAGAAGTTAGTACCTACCCATGTGCTATTTATGTCCGTATAAATCGTAGGTATAACTACGATTTTTAGTTTTTTTTATTTCAATAATATTTTTCATTTAACACCTAAGTGTTTATCATTTTCAGTGAAATTAAATGTCATTAAAATATTATACCCATTATTAATTTCACTATTTTAGTTGGTACATTTCATTTGATGAGATATCATCTTTCTTTAAAAATTGTTTACCCTATTAATTTTATTAATACTATAAATAAAATAGAAATAATTAGATGGTTTTTGTAGATATATAATTGTGTGCTATATAATATCTATTTATATAATATAAGTATATAGCTATACACTCCAAGTAAACATATATACATACCTATAATTGTATAATACGGCGTGTAGGTACAATATACTATATGACTACCTATAGTAGGTATAAATATATTTTGTCACATATAATATTATATTATTATAATCAATGGTTATAAGTTTATGACATTACGAGTTGTCCATAACCATAAGTTATTAATAATACAATTAATTCGCATTATATGTATATAATGAGGTATAGGTTATAGGTATACACAAGGTTTTATTACTTTTATTTAAATTTCTGTAATACCTTTTCTAAACTTATCTATAATCTATCCATCTATACATTATAAAATATGAATTATGTAATACCTATAAGGCTGTTATACCTAGTACCTACATCCTATATATTCTTTACTAATGTGTATTTATAAAATATAAATATTATATATTGATAAAAACCTAAACTTTAGATAAGGTAATAAATTAATGACATTATTTTTAATACATTTTAAAGAAATACCTAATGTAAAATATAAGTAGGTACCTACCTATTGTTAATATTTTTTTTTAATATTTCTTAAAAATAGGTTAGCAATATAAAAATATTACCAATATCCATTTCGAACACGTCATGTAGGTATAATTTTTTTGTTTCTTTCGGATGATAACCGATAGGTTCATTGTCCAAACGTTATTTTAAGAAATATCTGGTGTTCGTTTTCTGTAAAATTGTTTTCATTAACCAATAATATTAGTATTACCTATCTAGCAAGTAGCAGTACATGCAGTATACAATGTTAAATGCTTTGTATACAATAATACAACAGGTGTCAATAGTTATGTAGACACGCGTTCATATAAGCTAAATTATAATTTGATTATTCATTGTTTAATAACTATGTAAAATTGTAAATCAAATTAAACGTTTGCCAATAATGTTATTTAAACATTTCAAACTGCGTAATGAACGATATTAAGATGCTTTGATATTTTATACGTTATACCAAAAGTTTAATTATACCAAATATTTAACAATTGTATAAGAAACATAATTCTGATTTTCAAGTCGTAAACATTAGTAGGTAATCAAGAAAAAATTGTGGATAATAATACTGATATTGTCGTATCGATTATTATTTATTAACATTTACGCATAAAAATGACATATGGCCATAGCCGATAAAACATAATATGGCTCTATTACTTAGTGTATCTATATAATATGACGTGTAGTGCGTGCACCAATTGTGTATACGTTCATTAAGTTCATCGTTTAGTTTTCAACATTACATTGTTTACATTTTTTGTTAAAATTATGTTCAATTGTTTGTTCTAATTAGAAGACAAATAACCTCTTAATATATTTTGTTTTTATTTTTAAAATTTCTTAATACTCACAAATGTTATTTAATTTATTTTTTATCCTGTCGTACTTTATTTTACATCGATATGTGCGATAGGTTACAATGCATTATCTCTCGAAATTGAAAAAAAAAAGTTACCCTTAATTATATGTATTTAAACTTTACGTAGTCCACTTATCTCTTATAGTTCTCAAGATTATCAAAAAATATTTAAATTGTGTGGTTTTATGTCTTATGTGTATAAATAAAAGTATATTTAAAAATGAAAAATAATTACATTTTTTTCAAAAACTACCAACTGGAAAACTGTAGAAAATCAATAAAAAATATATGAATGTGGAACTTAAATTGCACACTTAGACTAAAGCAATAGGTACATACTTCAAAAATATGTCATTGTGCTAAAAAATTCCAAAAGTCGATATTAGTACTTATAGTTTTCATTTGTATAGAAGGTTGAAGTAGAAATTTAGAATAGAAAGCGTAAAGCATAATGCATAAGTTTTACTAAACATCTTGAGATTAATTCGGTATAAAAATATAATATACTATATACTGGTATGAATATTTTATACATGGCTGGTTTTATTCTAAAAATCGTCGGTAAATGTGCGCGTGTTTAATATATTTTCGCACACATGATCATATTTTAGTATTTTACCATGACAAATGACAATACAATTCTTGTACCTATCGTTAAAAATTCGGAAAATTAAGGTGAATAGTGAATACACTATAGGTATGTATCTTAAGTACCTATATTATATTTTATTCGATATTCATTATAAAATAGTGTTAAATACCTAAGTTACACTTCTGAAATTATTTCTTTAGTTCGTCAGCTAGATTATGCATCAGACATATTATTCAATATATACTGTATAGGTATAGGTAGGTAGCCGGTAGGTACCTTTTGGCTATTATAAAATAACCGATAACTGATGTATAATGATAATATATCACATTTGATTACGTGATCAAACCACAGTTTTTTTTAATTTTTTAAAAAATGTATTCAACTTGCACGTAGTGAAAAAAAATTAAAATAGTTTTGGTGGGATGTTCGCATTACCTTTTACTTTAGATAACATTATATAATGTCCAGAGTCCAGTCTGTCCCAGGGGGAGCCCCAGGACCCCCCCCCCAAGCTGTATTTCTAAACAATTTTATACTGTTAAAATAATATTACAGAAAAAAATTATAAACATTTTCCGAAAATTATGACTTGCCGCCCCCCCTAACCATATCACTGGAGCCGCCCCTGAGTCCAGACCTATCTACAATAATGTAGACTTAGTCGTCCGCGACGGTTAAAAATGACGCAGCATCGATAATGTTTTTAAAAATTATTTTTCGGTATATTTCTCGTTTTCGAGTGCAGTTTTATAATATAAAATACTAGAAATTATCAAAATCGTTATATATTTTTACCTAGGTACCTTATTAGTTTTTTTATATCGACGAAATTGTCCGCTCGATAATTCCATCACGATATTGATTGGTCGAACCCATAATATAATTCTAGAATAAAAAAAATAGGTACCTATCGAAGTATAGAATGAAACAAAAATAACCAATGTTACTTATTAGTTATTACTGTTAATTACATTTTAAAATAATGGTTCATCCCCATATTATATTTGTATAACATGATGTTACATGATATTTTACATTATGGCATGCGACATAATATTGTACCTACTTCAGTGGCGTATTTAGGAATTTTTCATGGGGAGGGGGGTCCATCTAATTTTCTAAACACATTAATAAACTATATTTGCACAGAATATATTAATATGTATATTAGATGTTTATATAGGTATTTATGGGTCCAATTTGGGGGGGGCGAACCCCATAGACTCCCCCTGTAAATACACCACTGCTGTACTTATAGGGGTGCATATATTGCCATCTTTAGTACTATGTAGGTAATCTTGGGTTCAGATAACATTTTGTGTGACAAAAAGAGGAAAATGTGTAGGTACTTTTTTGATGTATGCCTATGTAGCTATGTCATGTAATTTTTATTCTATTAAAACAAAATAATAAGAGCTGAATAATGTTTATGATATTGCTTTGTTTTTAGATAACCTGCGCAGTTGAGCATAAGCAACTATCATGGACGTCCCAGATAATCAAATATTAGGAATGGAGAAAAAACATAAACTGTGCTTTAGAAGCATTCAAGGTAATTGTTAAAATGGTAACTTAATCTAACTCTTCGAGTAGTTACAAAGTACAAATGTACATTCATCAATATTACCACAAATGTATTAGTTTTATTTATTTATTTATATTTTATAATTATAATTTCTACAAATTATATTATTATAGACATGATACCAGCTCGTGCGGTATTATATTTAATGTCATTCAGTGGATTCTTGGTCAGTTTCATGATGCGCACTGATATCAATATTGCCATGGTAGCAATGGCCAAAATGAGATTACGGTCTGAAAACTCATCGAATTTAACCGAACTTTATTGTTACACATCGGTTACAAATGGCACACAATCATTTGAAGATCAAAAACCCATGGTAAAGTACAAAAACTATCTAATTTGAGTAACTACCTTTTGCAAACCATAATAATTTAAAAACATATTTATTGGTATTTTTATGAAACTAATAAAAGCATAATTAAAAACAATTATAAAGAGGTAACAATATTATTTTATTCTTATTAAAATCAATATATGTTTTCAGGAAGAGGGCGAATTTGATTGGGATTCAACAGTGCAATCTGCAATCCTTGGTTCATTTTATTGGTGTTATATATTGTCTCAAGTAGTCGGCGGTGTCTTAACACAACGTTTTGGAACAAAAACAGTTTTTGGATTCTCACAATTAACAACAGCAATTGCTTCATTACTCATACCTCAGGCAGCTTCATTGCATTTCTCAGCAGTCATAGCATTGCGATCACTTCAAGGAATGGCATCAGTAAGTATAAAAAACAAAAAAAAAACTTAATAAACTTAAGTGATAGGTGTTTGTATACTTGTATTTAATGTTACCTTTATATTTAAAAAAAATGTTGTATATAATATATGTAGTATCTACCTCACTGTGTCTACTGTGTAGCAGTGGTGAAACGAGCTTAAAATACCCTAAAATTGACCCAAACCCACCCACCCTCCAAAAATGCATAATAAACATAAGTACTATTCATATTATTAATAGTATTTACTATTTAGTATTATTATTTAGTAATTTTTATTCACTTTCATGAAATAAACCGTTTCCCATTATTAATGCCCATAAATTTATCCCATCTTAATCTCCATTAAAGATTTTGAACACAGTCATTTTGACTAAATATAAAATACAGGTCTAAAATTATACTTAATCATAATAACTATTTCATTTTTTGTGACCAATAGCGACCCTATAATAAACAAAAATATTTTATTTATCTGTGTTCTATAACAATCCTTAAATTTGCAAAAAAAAAAAATTAAAGGCCACTTATTGAGATAAAATATAGCCCTTAGATTCCTGATGGTAAAATTTTTCTAAATCAGTTGATTGATTCCAACAATTTTTCTTCTTTATAATATTATAGATAAAGGTCGTCAAAACTTCAATAAATATTCCCAAAAATAGTATTATATTAAAGAAAAAATTAAACAAGTTTTATCAATATTCAATAAAATCAAAATAACTGAATAGTTAGGAAACATTTTCCTATATCTCCAACAATAAACTTTAACTTGAAAATTATGTTTCAAAAATTTGACGTAATAAGAAAAGTATAATTTTAAAAATTGTTAAAAAGAAAACTGGTATTGATAATGAATTACTCATGAAAATGTTCCCTGATTGTTATTTGAATACTATGAACTAGATCAGACAGTATCTAGGTAGTAGGAAGCTATACCCAGTTATAAATTTAGAATTTTTTTTTCCAAAATTGTTAGCGTAATTTACTACCAGAATTCAATATTTACTATTTAGTTTTGATCCCTATAATTAAAGTTGAGATTATTTTGTTTTGCAACTGTTTACATAATAAATATTTTATATAGCATTTTTACTAAATTTGCATTGTTTATTAGAATGCTGTAGTTAATTGCTTTCAACATTTAAATTTATAATAATATGAAAAACTAATGCGACAAAATAAGCATAGCACACCTACTGAATAGCTATTCAAATATTAAATAGATAAGAGAAATGTCCATATTTTATTGTTAATGTTGTAGGTCGCAATGTGTAAATGTGTTCAATGTACACTGATGTGTGGTAAACCGTACACACCAATCTTGAGGCTACGTCTTGACGGTACCTACACAATGTTGATTAATTTTGTTTTTCTAATTTTCCAGGGACTTACTTGGCCCGCAATGTATGCACTTGTTGGTATATGGATTCCATCCAATGAGAGAACCAGGTTCATGTCATCATTCCAAGGTATGAATTTGTTCCAAATCACAACAGTGTTTTAAATAGTATAAGAATGTGCCAGTTTGAAAAAAATTAAAGGTCACTTTGAAGTGTATTACTGGGGGACTTAATTTGTGACCCTTGTAATTTAAAGAAAACCATATACATCAAGAAACTTTCGAACCATAGGAATGTTTAAGACTTCTCTGGCAATGGGCCAATTTGAGTATTGAATTTCGAGATGTTCCTTGTCCATTATTTGGCATTACATACCTTCAGATTTTATTTCAACATATTATATCTCCTATAAAAATAATGTGCAAAAATATATAAATTATATATATTTATATGTATGTATATTCAATATGAATATATATGTATATATTATATACATATTACATATATATTTATTATATAGAATAGGTAGGTAGGTATTCTGTTAATTATTATCTAAGTATTTTATCAATTTGATATGTATATACTATATACCAACCACAATATTAGTTAAAATTTGTACTAATACAACAAATATTTAATACTATATATTGTAAGTAGGTAATAACTTTGGGAGGCATATGTTTAACATTTTTATTTATAGTGAAGGCTATCTACAATAATTCCAGTTACTACACATGCAGTGATGTAGCTGTTTTTTTCTAAATTTTATTATACATTTTAAACTAATTTAATGACATAAACATAATTTAGGAAAGTATCAAATTACTAAGACATTAAAATTTTATTATGTACTAAGTACTTGTTATAATCAATACAATTTGATTTAGAATTAATTCAAAATTAAGTAAAGTAAAATTTCATTTTTTTTTTTTTGTTTTTTTTTGTATAAATTATTTCAAATGCATAAATAATATTTATATTACTATGTATCATTAAGAATTACAAACAAATAATAAGGTTAAATTGTATTTCCAATGTGAACTTAGATTTTTTTTTTCACTTTATTTAAAATTATTTGATCATTTAAATGCTAAATCAAAATTCAAAATTCTTATTCAATATTTATTAAGTACCTAAATAAATGTATAGTTAGTTTTTAAGTAAAATAGTAAAAAAAAAAAAAAAGATGAAGGTATGAGTTTGGTGGTGATGTGCAGATGGGAGGTCGCAACGGGTAAACAAGTATATTTATCTATCTGTCTATTTGTGATATATGTGTAACTGGCGTCTAGGTTAGGTGGTAATTGAGCTGTTGCCTGGGTGACAGGGTTTAGTTTCGGGATTGGACTGACGTACATGGTATGCGGCTTCATTATTGGCAACTATGGATGGCGAGTGGTGTTTTACATGAACGGTTCATTGGGTGTCGCATGGTGCTTGCTATGGTGGTTGCTAGCTTTTGATCTACCTCACAAACATCCAAGAATAACTAGACGTGAACTGAATTATATCAATGCCAACATCGGAGAAAATATCATAAACACAAAAGTACCTATTAAAAATATTATTAAAAAACTTATTTTTTCATATATAATTTATTTTAAAATCATAAATTTGTTTAATAGGATTTAAAAGTCCCATGGTGTTCTATTATGACATCCATTCCAGCATGGTCTATTGGTATAACAACATTTGGTCGGATATGGGTCCATTATACATTCATAATATACGGTCCATCTTACATGAAGACAATATTAGGATTCAGTATACAAAAGGTTTGTTTGTTTCATATTTATTTTTCACACTGGTTATTAAAATTAAGATAACACCTATTATTAAAAACAATATTAAAACTTATAGAATGGATTTATGAATGGAGCTCCATTTTTGTGCAGTTACCTTTCTTCTGTTGTGTTCTGTTATGCAGCTGACTTCATTATAGCTCGTAATCTTATGAGCTTGACTAATGTCCGTAAAATGTTTACAGCTATATGTGAGTAATTGGTGTTAATTTCTCTAACAACCAACTGTGTATAGTTAAATAGTAATATGTACATATTTTAATATTTTTTTTTAGCTCAAGTCATTCCAGGCCTATTAGTACTGACCATAGGTTATTTGGGTTGTCAGATCACATTGATTTTGGTCATTTGGTTTGTAGCAGTTACACTGATAACTGCTTCATATGCTGGAGCAATGGCAAATGTAGTTGATATTGCGCCAAACTTTGCCGGACATATATTAGCATTTGCACAAACTATACATATGTCTGCAAGTTTTTTGTCTCCCCTTGCGGCAGCCATTATGCTCCAAGACAATGTAAGAAATATTAATATAGTTTTATTTCTCTTAATATTTTTTTGTATATTTTGATGAATATTATTATTTATTAACCATTATCTATTTAGCCAACTTTGGAGAGATGGCGTAGAATATTTGCTGTGACTGCTTGTGTGGCGTGTGGAACTTATGTAATGTACCAGTTTGGTGGTACTGCAAAAGAACAAGTCTGGAACAATCCAAATCGTAAAAACAATTCAGGTTCTGTTCGTGTTTCACCTGAAAATAATCAGCTTATTGTCAATAATAAAACTGATCCAGAAAGAGGAGATGGATAGAAGTTGAGATGAAAATATTCAAGAAAATAACAATGGCGTACTTAGGTCCCCCACATATAGGGGCTAAATCAAATTATTTTTACGAACGTTAATTGTGATATATAATATAATATTGTACAACAAAAGAGATAATTAGCGCCGATTATAAAATCGGATCTTCAATAAATCTCATCATTCCAAATAAGACAGTGTTCTAAACTTAATATTATATTTTATTATAATTTAAAACAAATTTTAATGTTTGTAATCATAGAATTTTTAAGTGTGTGACCTTGTGTCCTCTAATACGAATTAAGTAGAGTAGATATATCAATCAATTACTATGTATATTTATATAGGTGTTTTATTTATTAGAATTAAGTTGTAGTGAAAATGTGTCAACGTTTTCAAAACAAAAAATGAACAAGTGATTGGACAGTAATAAGTTGTTACACCTATTTATTAGTATAATATTTTCCATCAAGTATAAAAAGCCATTTTAAAATTTACTACCTGGTTATTTCTATACATCTTGTGCTCATATTTTTAGTTAAAATGTTATTTATTACTAGAATTGTAGATCAACAATGTGCCTTACCATATTCATTTTAGGAAGTTTGTTTAATTCAAAGGTATTTTTCAATTTTAAGTTTACATTATTTTATTGCATATTTCCATTTAAAAAAAAAAATATTTCTCTTTACTAGTATAATACTAGATAAACATGTAAGTAATGAACAGTTCTAAACATAATTATGCAATTGACTAATTCTTTTTTCAATTTTTCAATTAACCTTTAAACATTTGTATTAAAACAAATCTACCTCCACTATCTAAATATAATGTATTTATTTTTTAGAATTTATATATGTGTCTAGATATTGTATTTAATGAGTTTTTTAACTGGGCAAATGTAGTAGATTATAATATATAGCCTAGATTAGAGTTATATTATGCTTGTTTCAGATTTTTTATTTTTATAAAATATTTATAGACGAGTTTTACTAAAATGTAATAATAATAATAATTAGGCAAATTATTAAAAAAAAAAAAAATGAGATTTATAATATACGTCAAACTAATCATTTTTAAAAGTTAGCAATAAAAAAAAAACATTTTTGATAAAAAAATCTCAGATCAATTTTGTTATTGGTGAAAATTGAACTGAAATTCATCTGGGTATTTTTTATTTATATAACACTAAAAGCTGCTTTAAAAAATAAAATAAAGTTTTATATTATTTATTTAATTTTGACTAGTTTAATAATGTGTTTATAGTTATAAAAACAAAATACAGTAATAATGTACTTATTTAAACTGTAAATATGTATACAAAATCATTTTTTTGGAAGACATCTTGATTTTATTTATTTACTACATTAAGTGGAATATATATTTTTAATAGATTTATCAAAAATTAATGAACATGAATAATAATTTTAGTTGTAATTGTGTTAAGTATATAATTACTACCAAACAACACTCGTATAATATTGCATGTAATATTTAAAGTATGGTATAACAATTTATAAAATTACTTTATATATATTGATGTATCTAAAAGTAAAAGAGAGTAGGTCGTGTTATGTTCTAAAATTCAATCTTGATTTACTTTTGTAAAAAAAAAAATGTATCAATATTGATATTGTGTTCAAATGTTCGAAAAAAATATAAAACATTTAAAATTCTATAAACTGCGCCTTTTAGGTACCTATTCTAAATAATTGGTTATAGGCTTATAGCCTCTGTGGTATTTACTTGTTTTTATATCTAAGTTTGATGATTTAATACAATTTAATGTTATCATATTAATAGCATATTTATTTTACTCTAATATATAAAATTAATTAGTTTTGAAAATATTGAGACGTTTTGGTTCAAACAAATTCTATTCTTGTACATTCATAGTCTATTTATACTTCAGACTCTATTTTACACAATACCTTACTGACTGTGACTTCATAACTCTTTAATTTACTTTTTGAACAAATACATTCATACATCTACATTTTGAATACATTCAAGTATATTAGTTGATGAATTGTAAATATAATGTACATATAGGTAACTTTTTATTTATAGTATGTATATAATATCTCTATATTATATGCATTCTGAATGCACAAAATGTAAATACTTATAGCAATATAGAGTATTCATAAAAAAATAAAATAATGTTGATTGATGTCGTGATGAAATAATGATTAATTATGTACCTTTATCGGTATGCTCGAATACCTATAGTGAATTGTGAATTAATCGAATCCTAAAACTAGGTTTCTGAATTTGAACTATGAATCAGTTGCTTTTGTTTTGTAGGTATGTAATTACTAATTATCTAATGACTTTTGATACAAACACATGTTATAAATTTTGTATATAGTACACGAGCACTTTCAGTTTTGTAGATAGGTACTGCATATAAAAATAGAGGCTGCTATCACTTATAGCTGTAAATTATTAATGTAAGTAGATATATTATTAGGTATTCAATTTATTTTAGTTAACTGCCCTCAATTAAAAAAATATATATATATTGAATGTACCTACTTACATACAGTAAAAGATAAAAAAGTGATACTTGTTTCAAACATTTATTACCTACCTAAGTGATTTCTGGGGCGATGCAAACATTTTTAACTTTAAAAATTTAAGGTTTCCAGTTCTTTATTAATATCATCACCAAAACCGCTACCGTTCTCAATCAAAGATTCTTCTCTTGTTTTCCATTTCGTCACAATCCTCTAATTTCTCGAACAATACCTTACATGAAAACTCCACCAGAATACTTTTATTGGATGGTGAAGAGACCTCAATAATAAAACAAAAAATAATAATTAGCTCTATTTATTCAAGTGTTATCTAGACTCAGTGAGTACCTTATATCTTTTCTTATTCAAGTCTTTCAAGCCATGTAAAAATCTCCTATCATATATGGTTCTTTTCAGATTGTTTATTTTCAAATTGAAAAAGTAATAATAATATACAATGAAACAATTACATGCATTATTGCAGTACTGGGTACTATGATATTAGAAAATAATGTTCTCTGTTTTATGTTTTTAGGTATATTGTGTGTAGTTATGATCAGTGGTGCGTATTAACACTTTTTATTAACGGGTTGCTAGTTGATTATACCACAGAATAAATTATTCTGTGATTATCCATTCAAAAGTGTAAATTTGTATAGATTTTCTGTTGGATTTTTAATCAAAAAAGAAATATCACCTAAATACACAACAGTTTATACTTTATTATTATAATAGTGTTCAAATAAGTAATTTAGTAGAACATTGTTACGTGCTGTTAATTGATTGCTGTAGATAAAGTAAAATGTTTATTTTTCTTCCGAACAATAGAGCACTTATTCCAAATGTGTAGGTGCTAGGTCCCTACTATTAAGTATTATTTATTTAGTATTTGATATAGCTGTATATTTATTTGGTTGGTGATTGGTAACTTGGTAAGTATAATACAAAAATAAAAATGTTTTGTTGGTAGGTAGTAACTTAGTAACTTACTAACTGCCTACTTGCTTAACATTAAGCACTATTCTATTTTACATATTTAAACAATATATCATATTAGTATATTACCTAGTTACTATTTGAGTTCAGGTGTAAAATTAAAATGGTTTTAATTAATCAACATACTACTTATGCCAATAAAATAAAATATTATAAACGTTTGGACACTTTATAACAATATTTTTAATTTTATTATTATAGTCATATTATCAATCTTAATAGTTATACATTAATTGACTATTACATAACTCATTGTATTTAATTATTTGATACAAATATTGTTTAAAAGTCTGTGTTTCTCTGCTAGTAAATCATCATTATTCAAGCAAAATGTATACAATAAATATTGAGTCTTAGTTAAAAAAAATTTGTAACATTGAAATGTTTAATTTTAGTAAGCACTAAAAAGCACAGTTTTTTTTTTGATATCAAGTTTGAACATAATATAACAAAATTAAATTGCCTAAATATTGAATTTATGCAGCTATTATTTTTTGTGTTTAAATAATATAGCAACTTAATACTACAGAATAGATTGTTAATACCACATTTTGATGAGACCACAACAAAACTACAGAAATAGAAGATTTTATATTTTATAAACACTTTATTTATGTGGAATTAAGACTTGAAATGGATCAACATTAAAAGCTCAGTCAAACACAAAGCGGTCTGTCAGCGCAGACACTGTAAAATAATACAACCGGACGGCTGTGGCATACACCATGGCAGACCGTTTTCTGTTTGACCGGGTCTAAAGTGATTGAATTATGTATTTCAAAACTATAATCAGTAAAATCCCAGCTTCAACATCATTTGAAGCAAAAGATTGGATTATCTGAGAATTTTTAGCTTACCTAGTTAAAATGCAAAATAGATTTTTATACTTTATATAAATATTTACATTTTACAAGTTATTGATTATAATTTTTAAAAGTGGACAGTTATAAATTGTGTCAGGTGATATTAATATTTTAGTTTATAAATTAGTTAATGAATAATGGTATAAAAATTAAGTAATTAGGAGGTTGTTTCAATAGTTTGAAAAATGAGAGATTTCGAAAATGGTTGGTATGAAGGATTCTTATAAATAAGAACTAATATAGAAGGGGAAAATCTCAGTGTAGAGGTGGGTCGAACTCAAAAATATGGACTCAACCAAATGTTAAACCGATCAATACCGTGTGACGTTAAACTCAAACGAACATTCAATCACATCAACCAAGGCATTATGTTTGATACTGAACTAGAGTTTTTGATTAACCAATTTATACTAATCAAGCTTTTATTTAATTTAAGTCTTATCAATTTTAATTCAATCTGTTAACTACTAATCGATTTATTAAATAGTATATAATATACTAATACAAAATAGGATGTAATTTTTTTGTCAATAAATAAGACAAATTAAAAAATAATCATCGGAAACATTTTTTGTTCAGGGGCCTGCCTCGACCTGTTTTTTGTCAAAAACAGCCTTACAGGGGAAAACTCTCAGCCTCGTAGATTGGTCCGATTTCCGTAATTTTTTTTTTGTGATAGAGGAAGACTTCTACAGGGCGATTGTATGGATTATCAACATAATTTTTCTAAAATCTTATGTTACAAGTTTGAATTAATCAATTTTTCACTTTTAGTTTTTTAGTATTTTTGTTTTTAGGCGACGTAATCAAAAATCGAAGTCCAATGCGCCCTGTAAAAAATATTCCTCTATCTAACAAAAAAAAAATTACGGAAATCGGACCAATCTACGAGGTGTGAGAGTTTTTCCTGTAAACTGTGTTTTGACCGATATAATACACCCTATAAACCCCCCCTAAATAGGTATTGGGTAGTAGATTAGTGGAAAAGTCTTATAATTGAGGTGGCAACTAAAATATAAAATTTAATTTTCAAATTTTATAGAATTGCGGAAAATTTGAAAAATCGCGAGCAGGCCCCTTAAAACGTTTGACATATTCAAATTCTTTTTGGAGTTTGAAATAGAATAAAATTTCAAACTTTTTGTTGTTGTTTGTGTTTTTTAAACTAAGTTTGACTTTCAAACTAGGACCTAACAACTTAAGATTTTGGGAACTTTGAACAATTGGTTTTAACTTTTACTCACCTGGCCACTTCTCCACTTCTAGTTCAGAGGTAAACCAAAGAAAAAGTTATTCGAGGGCTTTAACATTAATAATAGAATAGCTGACTTCACTTGTAAGATAAAGATGAAAAAAAAAAGATTTAAGTTACTATATTTTTAAGGAATAATCTGTTATAAAATTCAAATTAATCTATTCAGGAGATTTTTAATTTTGTGCTGTAAATTGTAACAATCTATGATATGTTTGGTAGCAGTATCATTGGCTGCTACCAGAAACTGTTATGTCATTTTGATTTTTGTAAAATGGGATATAATATTGAAAGCACTTAAGAGGACGCCATACCTGCATGTATTGTTTCCGTCTTACACATGTATGACAGACAAAACACATTTACGCAGCCCGATTAGAACCAGACTAGCCTGGGGCTACCTAAGAAGTCAGTGGCCCCCTTAATTTTATTTTCAAATATTATGGCTATTAATTGTTAGTTTTGTACAGTAACACATTATAATTTCAATCTGTAATAAACTTAGACTAATAAACTCAAACAATTATAAACTTCTACAAAGTCTGTGTTATTCTATATTTTTAAAAATGGTATTATGTGTAAGGAAATTAATTAATAGAATATAAATAAAATAATTCATTCATAAATTCAAAAAATAATTAAACTAGGAATTTTTTTTCTAAATTATGATCTCTTTTCTTATTTTTATCTCTTTACCTAATTAAAATTAACAGCCTACCAATGTGAAAATTTATTTAATTTTTTTAAAGGTTGAATAACTTGGGTCTATTGTCAATTGAAAAACATATTTCAAAATTAATTAATTTAGATGAATTTACTGAAAGATTTGCAGTAGGTAAATCTTAAAAACAGACGAATTATCCTTGTATAATAATTGTATAAAATGTACCATTGTACCTATATTAATATATCATAAAAATATAATAGTTAACCAATACATGAAATATATTATAAAATATAGTTTTTTTTTATAAACATTGAGTGATAACTGATATTAAGAGAAGTGGTAGGGGGTACAACAAATAGAAAGGGGCCAAAAAATATTGGCCTCCTTAGAGTTAAAGGTATTTTAAAAATGTTGAAATTTTCGATGAAAAGATAAAATTGACTTGAAATTGAGTATAATGGAAAAAACTGCAACCACTTGCCCTCAGAACTATTTCCATTATTCAATTTTATAATAGGTATTTTTACTGTAAAATCAAAGTTGAGTAAATTCTACTCAGACTGCGTAAACTCGTTTTGTCTATGTCATGCCTGTGCAAGATGGAGACAATATATGCGGTTGTGGCGTCCTCTTAATATAGTACAAATGTTTAATATATCAATAACATACTAACCAAACCACAATAGACAAAAACAAAACTGTTACCAATTATTATTATAACTTATTGTATTATTCCCTAAACTAAAAATTACAGTATATAATTTTATATTGAAAAAGCCAAAAATATCATATTTAATTATAGTAGTTACTAGTTACTAGTCTTGTTACATAAAAACATAAACCCATAAGTTATGATACAAAATTAATGTAAAATTAGTACAGTAAATTTTTGTTTTGTTGAAACTTAAGAAGAACAAAAAGAAGTTCAAGATTTGAGTTTTATTGTAATGGTAATTATTTCAAGGTGATTTCTATTCAGTTATATCATACTTATATAGTTATATCACACATTTGTAATTACGAATACAATAATTTGGATACATTCTATTATATTTATTAAAACATAAATTACACAAAATATTAACTATTGATTGATTTGAAGCCTGAAAAATTTATAATAAATTTAATGAAATACATCTAAAAAATTAGTATAGGTTACTTACTTAAAATATATAAATATTTAGTGGTTGTCTTAAACATTGTTAATTTCCTCAATAGGTTTGGCTTTACGAAGAATTCCTAAAAAATATCATTTAAAATATTAGTAGCATATCTTCATTATGATTCAATTTTAAATTATGTATATCTAAAGTTAACAATTTAAAGTTACAACCAAACCATTTGATTGGTATTTATTATCTTAATTTGCAGAATTTAAAAGTTGATACTGTAGCCACTAAGGTTTTTATACTTTTATAATATAGGGGAAGTTTAACTAGAATCTTTGTATGCTGATACCGTGGGTACGTAACATTTTAGACTTTTGCAGCAACTTTATACTTATTTTAATTTAATACATAATAACTTCTTATCTAATACATTCATCAAAAAACACTTACAGCATTTTTAACTTAAATTTTGAGAAGGGTTCAAGCCCTTTAGCTAACTATCTACATTACTGTTTATATACTATACTACAATTTTTTTTCACTGGGTATCTAACAGAAACATGAGTAAATTAATAGATACATATTGTAGTAATTTCTATCAAATAAAGTGAACAGATATGTATTTTCATAAACAGGAAACCAAATATTACACTTTATATTAGAGGAATACTGTTAACTATGTTTTAAGGAGAAAAATATAGGCTAAAATGCACTTTACCACCCCATGCAAATGTTGCCACCGGAGCCACTATAAATGTGTTACTTCAACTAACAAGGTTAAAATTACTTGTTAGGTCACCCGTCTGCCCGCATGACAGGTATGCTCACCCTCGAAGGGGTAGCCTATCACAGGTTTGCTATTTAAGCAACGGCAGGTTTGGGGGCCGAGTATCCATCCAGCAAGAGGTACGCAGGAACTCAAGTTTGGCGATCGGAACCGGTAGGTATATGCGTAAAAATTCAGAATTCGAAACTGCCTTACTGTATAACTTCAAAACGAAATCTGGCTATCTAATTTTGATTGCACCGTCATTCTCAACTACCGGAAGTACATAAGTGGCAAAAAAAAAAAATCAATATTTGTATTGGTGCAGTACACTAGTGACGAGGGAATGCGCAAATATCGTTTAATAGAGAACTTTATTAGGCCATAACTTCGAACTTAAGTCCAACCGACAAATTCTGATTGCAAATGAATTCAAGATTGCACCATTGTTCTTAAATAGTTAATATGAGTAAGTTCCAAAAAAAAAATCGAAAAATTTGCATGGGGTGGTAAAACGTATTTGTTCCAAAATATATTCAAATTGATAAAACTATTTTCGTGACATGTCATTGTAGATAAGTAAAATATGTACATTAGGTAGTGTTTATTACAATTTAAGATATTTTAAATTGTGGTATATACGAATCTAATCTGGAAATTTAATCATCACCGGTTGAATTAATAGTTTATTTTTAATCTGAGTACATGTAAATACACTTTATAATTTATATACAGATATAATATCCATCTAAACAAAATATTGAAGAATTGTTTTGTGATTAGCTCTAAATACCACTTTTATTTGATTACTAGCAACTGCAGTGATAATAAAAAATCATAAAATAAAAATATACATTGTAGGGATGTATTAAAGTTAAAAATCAATACATCTTAAATAATTTAATAATAGTATTACCTTTTTCTTCAAAACGACTAAACAAAGGATCGCTTTCCTTAATAACATAATCTAATGTGGCTTTTTGATAGTAGTTGCCTTGCATTTCAATATTATTAATTATTGTTGTAAGTAAATGAGCTCTTCCGACATTTATTCCTATTAAATAATATACAAATTATATGATTAAATAATAATAAGTACATTTTTGTAAAATAAATGTAAGTAACAAATAACAATAAATAATATTACACTTAGGATAAAAGCAAAATATAAATTGCACAGTAAACACTAAAAATTATAAATCGTTAGAAATAAGTATGTAGTCTACAGTTTCCTTGATTTTTTTTTTTAAATTTGTTTCATTTCAATAGTGATTACTGATTAGTAATAATTGGTGTTTTATAATGACTAATGAGGCTGTTTTCAATACGACAATACCTTATCATAATGAGCTAAGACAAAATAAAATATCTTAAGAGTTACATTATAGCTGCTGAACCTAGTTCAAACTGGAAAATATGGCAAACAAGGTAAAATATGAAGTATATAGGATGTTAATATAACATAGTAGATTAACATACTTTTTGAACAATGAGACAATCAAATCAATCGACTATACAACCAATAGAGGAAATTAATTTTTTTTCTTCTTAAGAATTGTGGAGACTGTAATACGGTAACCGGATAAAAAAGCCACCGATAAAAAAGCCACGGACAAAAAAGCCACGGATAAATAAGCCATTGATAAAAAAGCTATGGGATAAAAAAGACATGCATTTATTTAACTCTTTTAAACCTTTTTAGATATAGGTATCTATAAGTTATAACCATAAGAAATAAGTCAAATATTTTAAACTATAGGTATAAATGGGCTGATTTATCATACTAGAAGAAGTTACTTGATCCTTCATTTTTTGTATACATTTAGTAACTTTTATTTTATTCTTTATCAGGTAGATGATTATGTGGATTTTTTTCTACAGGATTATCATGTTGCAATTCAGTGTACATTGTCCCTTTACACTTGAGAGAACTCGCTTTCATACAACGCCATGTTATTTTATTTTCCCCCAAATGCTTAATGACGTACATATGACCATTAAAACAAATTTTGCTACCTCCTTTGTTTGTTTTGACAATTTCCATTATAGAAATTCAAAAAAAGTTCTTACAAATTTTAACACCTTACACTTATATTTCACAACGTTTGTACTATACACAGACTGAGCATAACGGAAACTAAATAGTGTATAAAAGATAAAATTTTACCAATTTCCCAACCATATAGGTTTCGGTCAACCTATAATAATATTAGATTATAGAGACAATCACATAGTATTTTATATTGTTCACATATAATACAATACTTTAGACACTAAGATACCAACACCAGTTTTAAGATAAAGTCAAATGGCAAAAATTTTTATTGCTATATACCTTAATCAGTTTAATCTTTTATATTTCAAATGTATATTTATAGTATTTATACCATATATCCGGAAACGGTATTTAATGTATGATTTATTGATTTATTGTTTTCGTAAAACGTCTGTTCCAAGAAATGTCATTCCAAAAAAATACGGCAGCCCATTTATACCTATAGTTTAAAATATTTCACTTATTTCTTATGGTTATAACTTATAGATACCTATATATAAAAAGGTTTAAAAGAGTTAAATAAATGCATGTCTTTTTTATCCCATGGATTTTTTGTCCGTGGCTTTTTTATCCTAGATCCCTGTAATGCAGTTGAAGGTATTATAGTTAAGCTTATAGAACAGATAAATGTTTTGAATTTGTTAGTTAACAATTTTGTTTTACATTTTAAGGTATAAATTAAAAACTACCAACCTGGAGGTGTATGCATCAAATATGTAAAGTGAACATGAAAATGATAGAATGATGGTTGATAATGGACATAAGTGCGTAATTGAGATTGTTGAACTCCATATAATTTATAAATAGCAGCCTGAAAAATAGTTTAATATAAAACTTTGTTCAATGGAACACAAAAAATTACTCCTAAATGTAGATACATACTGATCCTTTGTTTAAAATATTTTTTAATAATGGTAAATGATCAGTCGTTAAATCTCTTAATGACTTAATGTTTCTTTTTTTGATAATAGCTAACAAGTACAATTCATTCAATTTACCAGACCATTTTAAGTCTGGTAAAAGTAAAAAGCCATTATCTTCATCATCTTTTTGATTTTCAGAAGCCGTATCATATGCTATTCTTTCTTTTTCTGATTTATACTCTAAGCAATTGTATACCCACTGAATGAGTATAAACATAAAATTAGTCATTTTTTTCTAATAAATCAAATAATTTGATAGAAAACTCACTTGTAGTGACAAGCTGTTATCCAAGATATGAAGTAAAGTTATAGTTTGATACATTTCTTCAGTTTCTTGCACACAATACATGGATTGACTCAAAAATTTTAAAATATGCTTGTCTGTTGCAGGGTATATTAGGTCCATTTTATTGGAAGGAATGTTTTCTATAAATTAAAACACATATTTAAATTGTTATCAAAATATAATAGATAATAATATTTACCATCATATTGGGGCACACAACTGAATGATTTATAAATATCATTATCTAAATTTTTTTTTAATTTAGTCTGGGCATTGCACACATTTAAAACAGAAGCTTCATCAAAAGCATATTTTTCGATAACAACAACAGCGGGTTCCGGAAGTCCTTTAAAATTGCCTTCAACAGCAATCATTTTGCGTTGTGTGTCGTTCATCAAAATTCGTTTGAGACAGAATTGATCAAAATTTGGTTGAGGATCCATTATGAACTTGGCGATGAATACAAAAACTTAAAGTTCAGATTTAATTAAATCCTATTATAGTCAGTACTCAGCGATTTACACGCACATTGAAAAATACAATTACATACAAATCAAAATACAAAACACAAATTAAAAAGATAAAATGAAACAATTTTCAAATATTCAGTTATCCTTATCTTTTGCAATGCCTCGTTCATCAATCATCAGTCATCTTGCCATCTCGTTGACGTATCACCGGCAGTCGGCACTCGGCAGGGACTACAAAGTACAAACAAACATAAATCTGTGGTACAACTGTACAAGAGGCAAAGTGAAGGGGGTCGCAATGTGCCCCTAGAGTCTACAGCGCTCTCTGTATAAAACACGGACTACAGATACAAATTGTGAAGCCAAAGCCAAATAAAACCACAGGCAGCTCTGAAAACTTCAAGAACAGTTACAAGTTACAACGACCACCGCCGAAGCCGGCCATGTCGTTTCCAGTCCAATGATATCCAGGGCCCTTTCCTAGGGTCCGTGATCCTCGGTTAACAAGATCCCCATCGTTATCTAGATTCATAGTTAATAAAATCTTGTATTATCTATATCTAGATCACGGCTAGATCTCACGGAATAATTAGACACTCCTAAAGTCCTCATAGATAATAAAGATCTTTATTATCTATGAAAGTTCTAACATTTGAGCACAGAATATATCTGTACTATATAATATTATATACCTATTTGTGCATTTGAGGCATAGAAAATAGTCAATAGATTAAAGTTCCTCTACTACCCCCCAACCATTCCAATATATTAATATATTATTGGTCCGTGTCCCTCATCCCTCCAGTCTCCGTTTTCACGTATTAAGAATTAAGATAATAATATAATATATTGATACTTAATTCGTGATGGCTCCCCAAATTTTAGTCTGCCATATTGAAAGGGCTCAACAGTTTTCCAGTTTTATAAATAACAAACATTTTTTTTATATAGTTTATGTTTTATTTGGTTACACTGTTTATCAACGTGTTTTCACTTTTGACCCGCCACATTTTTTAAACTAACCAAATAAATAAACAGTTTCAATCCTTTGAATCAACTCCTTTGTGAACTACCCTAAACCCTTCCCTATTGATATTTTAAGTTATTTTAAAATGAACGTTGAAAGATGCTTTTTGTTTACTTGTGAGTTTTATTATTCTATTCTGTGGTTTTATTCTCGTTTCAACGTGTTTTTTACGATTTTGGGAACACGTATGTATTGTATTATTATTTATAATATAGTAGTTTTTAATAATTTTAAACATAGTTATTTATTATTACTTTTTATTTAAAACATTTATTAACATTTATTATATTACAATTTACATCGTACAATACTACGATAGCCCTTGTGGCATGATATGCTGTTTTCCTGTGTAAACGAAAAGATGACTCATCAGTCATCACTTACTCCGAGAAGCTAATTTCATTGCCCAAGGATAGTTCTAGGTACCTATGTATTATTTAAATTTTTCAGAACAATCGTTTGTTTTCTGATGACAATGCTTCAAACTTTAATTTTCAAGATGTTGTTTTCAATCTCAATAAATTTATAAGGTCATGTTATAAATTATCATTATTCTATCAATTAGCTAAATTACATTATTGTTGTTGTTCTTCTTATTATTATTATAGATATACTAGCTGATTTTTCAAGCTTATGGCACACAGTTAATGAAAAACTCTCATAAATCGCTTTGAAATTTTCTAACTTGCATTTCTTCTAATGATCTAATAAATTATAAGGTCATGACTCATGTTAAAGATTGTCATTATTGTATCAATTATGTATTGTTATTTATTATTATTATTATTATAGATGTACAAGTTGGTTGGAAAATGAAATTGCAAATTGTTAATGTCTGAACAGAAAATACAGACTTTGTAGCTTACATTTTGAAAATAAAATGTTTAGTAACTATTAAAAAAATTGAATTAAACCTGATGCTATACCAACAATATTTCAACATTCAGCCGAAGAGGTTCTGATCGTTGAATAATTTCAAATTCCACTGAATGATATTGTTAAATGTTAATAATGACAATACAACCATCTTTTCAACATATAATGCAAGTTAATAGTACTTCTACATCCATAAACTGTATCATATTTTTGAAAATTGAGATTATAATTTTTGTGTTGCTTAAACAAAAAGGTTTTGAAACGCTTATTAACAGCACAATTACTAAACAAATAAATTTAACTTTAAAAATCCATTATATTTTTTTTTTATTTTAGACTTGTCTGCTATTAATCAGTTGCCACATCAGATGGATCAACATCGTCTGAGATTGAAATGAGTAGTACCGTACAGATGTTCAAACACCTAAGTATCTGTCAGCAAATACTCCATGGAAACTTAAGCTTCATGAAAAGCTTGCGGAAGAAATTCAACTCAGGATAGAATCTGAAGACATAGAGAAGTATTTGTTACATAAAGTTAACACTTTAAGTTTACAGTTGACTGAACGCATTTCTGCATTTAGACATTTTGCGCCCCGGTGCAAAAAAACCCTAAGCCAATTTGAAAAAAAATTGCTCCAGGGGGCCTATCCACGGAAAATATAGGAGATAGATCCTCATTAACCTATTAGATATTTTGAGCACAAAAGAATATTTGTTTTATAATGTGTACTTTTTTAAAAAAAAATTGTTTTTATTACTTAATCCTCTCCCGCAAAGATACATTTGAATTTATGTCACTTAAACCTTCCTTATAATTCATCATATAAGTTGTTTTTTTTAACATATTTATGTAGGTAGGTACTTCATGAATAAATTATATAAAACTATGCAAATTAATATTAATTAAAACAATTTCAAACAGCATAATACTATATATATATAATACTATTATAAAATTTTAATAATTCACAAGTAAACAAATGTACTAATACAAATTTTGGCGCTCCGGGCAGTTGTACCCCCTAAATGCGGCCCTGGCTGAACGGTATGCAGTAGATTATTGCCTTAGGTATGTCAGGAAAATTTAAAGCCGGTATTATAAATTTTGGTTAATTTTCAAATGAAATAAAACAACTTACTCTTAATATTTATTTTCTAGGTCCTAAAGTTTACAAATTACTATAAAATTCTTTATCTATTCCTACTAGTAGAACTTTAAGAAATGTTACAAGTAAATATGTTATTATTTCTGGTCTAAATGATTTTCTTTTTAATTTTCTATCTTTTAAAATGAGTAATTTTAAATCTGAAGCTTTAGATTGAATTTTACGTGCTGATGAAATGACTTAAAAAATAATTTTTTTTATAATGTATCTTATCATAAAATAATTGGATTTCATAAATCTATTTCTCATAAAAAGTATGAACGATAAACCCTCTAAATATGCTTTGGTTATTATGATTAGAGGTATAAACAACAAATGGAAACAACCAATTGCCCACTTTCTTGTTTCTAGCAGCATCACTGCTACTGATTTAAGATGTAATATTTACTACAATTTGTCGCAAAATATGAAACTTAATATTAAAGCATTTGTAACTGACCAAGGATCAAATTTAATCTGTTTTTTGGTTTGGGTCCCAGTGAAATAGTAGTTTATATAGGTCGTTGGGTCACACAATACATTAAATCTATTCTGTAGTTTGGTATCCAGTATATTTTAATTTGTGGTCTATACTGCGATCATGATAATATCAGATATCTTATATCATGCCATCACGGCCATGGAAGATTTTCTTAGACCGTGTCATGTACTTGTGTCCCATATTAATATATTATAATCAATTAGTCATGATAATAGTGTATTTAGGATAAGATATTATACATAATATATGGTTATATGTTATACATATATCCAGTCTGCTTATACCAGACAGTGTTTGGAAGGAATGAGTTCCAAATGGAACGGATTCTTGAAACAAATTCCTTTTTATAAAAAAAAAAAAACAACTTTTTTCAAGGAAAAATAACATTTTTCTTTCTTTTCTAGTTCCAATAATTTACACAGATCTGTAAATAATTGAAATTAAGATATCTTTTTTTTAATGTGTATAAATGTATAATGTATATTTAATATTGCCAATTAGTGATCGATATCGAGTATCAACGTTAATCGTTAGTTATTAGTCACATTTCTTAAAGTTATAAGTTAATATAATTATTATTAAAACAATAAACGAAAAGACAGCCGACATACGTCGGCCAACAATTTAATTTTGAGGAAAATCTCAAACTAGAATTTTAAAATATTTAGGTGTACCTACTTGTAGGTATATATTATAATTACAAATTAAAGAAGTATGCATATGAAAAAAAACATTAATGATTAAATAAGAATTTTTATTTTATTTGGAACTAAAAAAAGAACGAATTTCTTTTCATAAGGAACTTGCCAAACACTGAAATATAATTACGTCCTTTCGTTTTTTTTTTATATCATAGAGACTTGAATTCACTAATCACTAGTTCAGGCTTCGGAAGTACAGAAAACACTGAAAACAGCATCTATATTCTATACAGTATACTGTGTATTATAATGGAATAAGGTTAAATAAGGTCAATTAAGGGATATGGATATAATATATTATATTATATTGTAAGTCGTGACTCGAAATTACGATAAGCGATTGTTAAATGTTAATATCCGGCTATAGATATATTATTATCTAAACCCGTAATAATATTATTATTGAAACTTGACACTTGTTGATTATTTATTACGGAAAAAAATTCAATATTAATCAACAGTGTTCCCATTCAATTTCCGGTTTCCCGCTTTTTCTCGTTTGTACTTTGTGCCAATAAATAATTTCTAATGACTGAACGAACTACTTAATTAATATCTAAATTCTAAATAGTAAGTAGCAAGACTAGTAACTACGCAACTTAAAATCCGCAAAATATAAGTACCAACTCGAGTAGGTATTTCAGTATTTGACGTCTATAATTGAGTCTTGACTCAGATATTATTTAGTTATTTACATATTTTCACATAAATCATAATCTGCGTAGAGTTTTTGCGCGCGGATGTCATATATACGTCAGCTACCGATATTCGATAAATAATAAATATTAAAATATATTTTATTATTGTATTCGTATTTCATCGTTGTTAATGACGACCCGTGTCTCGAGTGAGCGACTTTAATCATTATCTAAGGAGTCAACGTATGACATTTGACGTCGCATGACAGTATGACACATACCTACTTAAAGGATATAATATTACCTAATAACAAATAATATAGAAAAAAGATAACCTCACAAGTTATGACAGCGTTCTCGTTCACACTTCAGTACTTCATACTATCGGCTATCGCACCGAACCTAACGGACCAGACGTATTCTGTTTAGTTCAATATAATATTTCAGATACAGTGCGTTCTTAGTGAAATAATCGTGAATCATAATATTCTAGTCTTTTGCACGCACAACAGCTGGCAAAACCCGACGGCCGCCGGTCATCCTCGATTTGCGTCTAAGCAATTTTTTAAGAGCAGTTTTAATTTTTCTTTGTCCAGGTGAGACACGTTCAACACCGTAACGTTATTATTTCCTAATTATTGTTACATGATATGACCTGAAAGTAGAGCAGTGGGACTGGGTTCTGAGCATAGATAATATATATATTATCTATGGTTCTGGGTAAAGATAATTATCATAGGCGGAATTGCGGCCTGGGCCAACCTTGGCCCAGGCTGATTGCGCCCCATAATAATATAATATATTATAGTAGGCAGTAGGTACCTACTGGGGTCTAGGACCACTAATTACAATTAACAATACGAGTAATACGACTGAACGTTATTAAATTTATATAATACACGCAATTCACTGCTCACCAATCCCTAAGGTATACTATATATGCCGTGCCAAGGCACTGTTGTGGTTAGGTATTTTGAATATTGAAATAAAACTATAAAGTATAAACCCTAGTATTATTTCAGTTCTACTATTGTCTTCACTCTTCAGAATTGTTTGCATTATTATTTAAGAATAATATGTTATACCAACGCTTGAATTAAATAAATATAAATTATATTGTCAACATGAACTCAACATATATTTTTATATTACGATATACTTATATAATTATTACATGCATTTTTAAATAAAAAAACCATACAAATTAGTTTAAAAAAAAAAATGGTATCAAAGAATTTTCTACCCTCTCAACCATACCCCCCACCCCTTAACATTTATAATACATGTCTGAATTGATCAGGAAAAGTGGGCCAGTCTAATAAAAACATCTAGTTTCGCCTTTGATAATTATAATGTATTATTTATTAAGTACTTATTAGTTATTTCACTTGTTAGTGTATATAGTTCAGTTAATTTTGAGGATTTCGAGATTCGTGTTGCAAACCGGGTAAAATTTTTGAGGGTTTTCAGTTTCGTGTTGAAACCCGTTTTGACGTCCTGATTGTGAGTATTATTTATTTAGTCTTAACAAATTTTTTTTATTAGGAAATAGGAATAAAAACAATGTACCTATGTACATTGTTATGATTATAATTACATACTATATTTATATTTAATTAAAATTGAGAAGAAACCTCATCTCGGAGACACTCTGAAGTCTTAACAACAGCAATAACAACATCTACTATATACAAGATAAATTGTAATTTTATTTTTTTATTCCAGTAGCCATGTATCCGCAAGTGAACAAAGAAAATAATTTGCCATCAGCTCCACCATCCTATACGGACTCAATGAATGCTCCGAAGTATGACATCAATAATCAGGGAAATATCGGAGGCCATTCATACTCCACGTCAACAATGGAGCCTCCACAGCCCACTCGAGTGATCGTTGTCCAAGGAAATCCAGAGATTTGTAAGTAATCTATTTAGTTTCTTGAACTTTTTACCTATACTATACTATTAATATTCTATTTATATTACAATACCCAACTAAAACTGAAAGATTTCGTGGAATACCTGTATATGAATATTTGATAGCAATCCTCCAAAATATAGAGATATGAATATAATTATTAATTAAGCCTATTGTAGCCAATTGTGTATTTCTCTTCAAGCTCATTTCCAACTCTATTGATATTTGATTCTTCTTCCTTATTAGTGGAATCAGTTTCAGAGTTCAAATACATTTCATTAGAAACTGCTAATTTTTCTAATTTTTCTCAGTCTTATTTCTACCACTATTTGTCAAATTCTCTCTTTAGCTATTTATTCGACTTGAGAATGAGAACCTTTTTATTTTAATATATGAATAAAACAGGCTTCTGTAAAATAAATATATGATTCATTCACTTATGCTAACAAAATTAGAACAACAAGTGAGAGCTTATTCAGGCTTAAAGCCCGGTCCAGACCAAGAAACATTTGTAGGAAACATATGTTTCCGACATTGTCGTCGACAAATATTTATGTTAACGCTTATGAGCGGAAATCGGAAACATTGTCGATGACAATGTTGGAAACACTTGTTTCCGACAAAATTTTCTTTGGTGTGGACGGGGCTTTATAGTTAGCTTACGTCTGGATTTGAATATTGAGAAAAGAGCTGTCCTCATTTTCTAATTTCATTATTCCATTAATTTGATTCATTGGATTCAATATATTATATTATTATAATTGGTTAGGTTGAGCAGAGAGGAATGTAGTTTTATGGTGAATAAGATGTGAAAGCACTTTAAAATTAACAAGTTAAATAAGACGGCAAATGAATATATGAAGAGATGAGATTTGTGAGGAAGGAAATATGTTAAGAGTAACAATAGTAACTTTGCATAATGCTATTCTATTAATGTTATTTAAATATTTTAGTACCACCATTGGGTCCAAGATCAGTACAGTTGACATGTCCAAACTGTAAATTATTAGTAATGACAAGAATTGAAGAAGAGTCATCATCTAATGCTTATTTATGCTGCATGTTGTTATTTATTGTTGGGTAAGTGGAAAAAAATATGAATAACTATATTGTGAAGATTCAAAATTATAATTTAAACAATGATAACTTATTGTATGAAACATGAAAACTTAACAATCATGGAAATTAAATGTACTTGAGTTATTATTGATTAAATACTATAGTCTTGTTCCACGAGAGAATAATCTTTTCCATAACAAAAATTGGTCGGATCCATCATATATCAAATAAGTTGTCTGTGACAGTTAACTACATGAAGGGGATACAATATCTACAATATCTACATGCACAAAACTGACGTGTTTTTCTTGTGGAACAGAGTTTAATAAAATTATACGTTATTTAAATTTTATAATTGCATTTAAGAGGACGCTACCCATAAATTTGTTGTCTCCGTCTTACACGCTCACGACATAGCAAATTGTCGTTCACTAGTTTCAATAGTGTACTGTTAGTTTTGAAACTAGAGTGAATTGACCTATTATAAAACTTTTAGGTCAGAACATTATCTGTGCTTAAGCTTTGCCATTTTTTCAAAATTTTCATTTTCAAGCAAGATATGGGTATGTGAAATATCAAAAATAAAAAATGCTGATATCTCGCTTGAAAATTAAAATAACGAATAAAGCCAACTCTTAAGCACAGATAATGTTATTATCTAAAAAATTGATAATGGGTCAAATCACTCTAATATCAAAACTAACAGCACACTATTGACACTAGTGAACGAAAATTTGACGTGTGTAAGACAGAGACAACAAATGCATGGGTAGCATCCTCTTAACTCATGCTCGTTAAGTGTGTTAGTTATATAAATTAACTTATATGATTAATAATCAATAGTAATAACTAAGATAAGATAGGTATGTTAAGTAATGTACATTTTTTTTTCCAGGTGTTTCGTTTGTTCATGTCTGCCATTATGCATGGATAACTTTAAGAACAGTAAGCATTCATGTCCGAATTGTAATGCTTTTATTGGGATTTACAAACCATAAGCCAATAATATTATTAATCACCAAATTAATCAAATGTGCAAACTGCAACTGTATAAAATACTTTATTCCTCATTATATTATTACATTTTATTACATTCATTACTATTATCACACCTTTAATAAGTTTATTTTTGAAAATATTTCTTATTTGGTAAGCTATCCAATTTTGAAATAGTTATACATATACCTCTCATTGAACTTGTAGTAAATATAGTTATCCTATAGTTATCTAGACATTTCTAATTCAAGTGTTCTCTTATGATGTTAATACAATTAATATATTTGTATTCTAAAAGAAGAAATAAGTAGGTAATGATTTTTTATATAACTGAAACGCATTAAAGTTTATTCTATTGTTTTTTCCCTTAAATCAAGTTTTATTATATAAATTAAATTGTTTGAGATAAGTTGAAAGAAAGAAAAGGTTCATTGATATAAAAACTGGAATCCAACTATTTATTTATTTTTATTATTAAATATTCAAATAATCTATTAGCAGTGTTTTTATTTGTTCCATAAGTATCATCAGCTGCGTTTTACTTGCATCCCGTAAGATTGTTGATGGTAATGTAAATATTATGACATGTAAGACCGTCCTACAGACACAACTTACTTATTATATTTATTGGTAGATTGTTTGTGTCCCAAGCAAATAGTTTGTATTGAAATCACTGTGTCAATATAATTTTACACATATGATATAATAAACTAAGATAAATCCTTGTTACGAGATGATATTTTAGAAATGTAATGAGTGTATCTATTGTCTATTGAAACTCAAATTAGCAACTTAGACAATAAACGTATCTATATTAGTTACTAGCTGTCCCACCCAGCGTTGCCCGGGCAAAAGTTACCCCTGGTGGAATACATTGGCAATATTACAACTTATAAGTTTAAGTTCAAGGACTCAAAAACGCTCGATAAAATTATGTACCAACTCTATATATTATTCAAACTTTGTTCAATTTGTAATTCGTTTATTTAATATTCGGTGTATGATGTTCAAAACTTAAACACTTTCATCTATCATCTTGAATATATAATTAGTAATTACCCGAGAGACACGCTTGTATGTTTTGCATGCGTGAGACATCTAGAATGTTAAATGTTTTCAGGTAGAAATGCGTATGTAATTACGAATGTTTTATTAACAGTTAACACGTTGGTTTTATGATGTGCATGCATAGTCTTGGGAATACCTTTTTTACTAAACCATCTGCTATATAGCTACTGGTCAAAAATTATTTTCATTATTTAATCATGACCAATAGGCAAAGCAACCTTTCAATTAACAAAAATATATTATTATTTAGTTTCTTTTCTCACTGGACCGATGGCACCTACATCCAAATTTCCTACTTTTCGGGTGGCTTTTCTTAAAATGATCTTACTTCAGAGTTGAGAACTTTCTCCTGACAAATTACGAATACAACAAAAAAAAGAATTTAAATTTAATTTATATATACAGTGTGATCACGATATTAGGTACCACCGAATGGTATTGGGAAAAAAAGGCAATTGAAAAAAAAGCAACGGAAAAAAAAAATATGAAAAAAAAGCTAAAGGAAAAAAAAGCAAACGACACACGTTTTTGTTTTTTTAATAACTCAAGATAATTACTTGTATAATATTTTACTTAATCAGTGAGCAGTGTAAAATATATACCTACGTGGTTTTTTTGTAGCTTAGCCCTTTCTTTCAGCAACGGTTATTAGACACTGTGCAACCAAAAAAAAAAACTTAAGAAGTATGAAAAAATGTAATTCAATTTAAAAAAAATATGTGAAGAGTATAGAGATAAGCAACGTGATCTACCAAATTTTTTATTAGCTATATCTCATACCACAAGGTATACTTTATAAATTGTTTTATGATAAATTTATGTTTTATATTGACGCATATTGATGCATTTAATTTTATACTTGGAATTTTATTTTAACTTATTAAGTGTACATTTTTTAATTACATTAAATTATTTTTAATTATTATTTACTACCTACCTACTTACTAATTAACTATACGGCATATTGGTTTTTGCTATACTTATACGTTATACACATATGCCTGTAGGTACCTATGCCTTTTTTTCATTTGCTTTTTTTCCTTTTGCTTTTTTTTCAATTGCCTTTTTTTCCTAGATTCCCACTGAATATCTCAGATGGGTGTCTTTGTATTGAAATGGGGTTTTCGGGAGGTGATAGGGAGCACTTAAATACATATATTCAGACCGGTTTCAAATTTTTATTATCTGCCATGCCCAGGTGGGGGATGTCGCCATGTCGACCTCTCTCTCCGGACACCGTGACTGCCAGAAGAAAAATGCCACCCATGGCTGAGCTCGAACCGGCGACGGTGCTCGTCGCAACTGAAGCCTTAGTCCACTCGGCCAGTCCGTCCCCCATTAAACATTTATTTGGCACTTATTTTATTATTTCCAGTGGTTATAAATGAAAATTGCATTAAACACATATTGTGCATAAATCCAATTTTTGACTTTCTCTCTAATTTGGTCAGTTTTGAAAATAGAAAAAAACTTTTTATACAATAAATGTTAAAAAAAAAATACTCTACCCGAATCTGCATAAATAAAACTGGGGTTGCCATTTAAAAAAAAAGTAAATCTTATTGCGCATGTGCGTACCGAGTGAGTTAAAATTTTAATACCGAACTGGCCGAGTGGACTAAGGCGTCAGTTGTTGCGACGAGCACCGTCGCCGGTTCTAACTAGGCCACGGGTGGCATTTACGGTGTCCGGAGAGAGAAGCCATCATTCCCCACCCGAGCATGGCATATACCTACGGGTACCCACTTAAAAATTCTGCCAAAACAAACACCCACTTATGTAGGTATCTGCCATGCGCACCTCATAGGCTTTTTGTTATATTTTAATTTTAAAGCGAATTATGAGTATTTTAAGATGTACAAACAATTTATATTTTAAAATACCTACTCATAACTCGCTTTTAAATTAAAATATAACAAAAAGCTTTTGAGGTTCCCTAGATAATAATCTTACCATAAAATTTTACAAGAAGACAATTCACTGTAATTTTTAAACTAACGGAGCTAAACTGCTAAACGTGATTTATTGAGCGTAAAATGTGCCATGTTACGCACTTGTAAGATGGAGACAACACATATTGCGTCTTTTCGTGTTAAGAAGTACCTACCTACCTATATTTTTATTTATTTAAACGGAATAATGGAAATCAATTTATAAAAAATACAATGCACCATCGACGTATGTAAACATAACTCTTAAGCATTGATGATTATTGGTTATCACTTATCAGTCATCACTTAACAGCAAGTGCCAAGTATACAATTTAAATTCCAATTTTCATAATTCATATAGACTACCTATATCAAAAAATAAAAAAATTAGATAGTTAGATATGACATCAAAAGTAGGTACGGGTCACGGGCCACGGGGTATGTCGTATGATTATGTAATATTTATCCCACCAAAAACATATATGTAAAATGAGAGCCAAGTTCAATACTATAATATATGCCTTAGTTGTTGACTTCAACGATAAAAGAAGTGAGATCTAAATGGGTGCCAAGTTAGGATAATATATTGAAGCCTAAGGTGTGACTTGGCTACTTTTCATATACGAATTATTATTATAAGTACCTACTAAAACAGTAATGGAAGAGTGAAGATGATTTTCCGAAGAATAAAATAAGAACTCAAAGCTTTAGAACTTGCAAATGCTATAATATATAATTCGTAGCCAAGTCAGACCTTAGGCTTCAATATATTATCCTAACTTGGCACCCATTTAGATCTCACTTCTTTTGTCGTTGAAGTCAACAACCAAGGCATATATTATATAGTATTGAACTTGGCTCTCATTTTACATATATGTTTTTGGTGGGATATCATTACTTTTTGTATGTAAATTATTATAACCTAACCTAACCTATCCATGACGTATTCTATAAATAAAGTTTATTACTATATAATATAATTCAGTTTCTAATATTAATAATAATATTTATTATAAAATATTTTCCGTTTTACATACGAGTATACGAGTATAAAATATATGTAAAATTAATATACAATTATTTTAACTCTTTTTGAGTATATTGGTGGATAATTCATAATTTGTAAGAATAATTATTTAATTATTTTAATTGTTATATTTAAAAAAAATAATATTAATTACATACATAGATAGAAAAAAAAGTATGTTGCTGCGCACGGGTCGACAATATCGACACATATTCGGCTAGTCGTATTTTTGGAGCGGCGATACGGGAAAGGTTATTTAAGTCAACATTACATTAAATTAGAGGCAATTCATTAATAAATTGAAAAATTAAACATAATAGATAAAATAATTGCAAAATTATAATAAAATCAATTGATTAAAAAATTAAAAAAAGGTGGGTAAGTGGATGTCGCTCTGCTGTACAGTAGGTTACAAGTGGGTCACTGTATAATGGATGGTATTAAATTTGAATTCAATGATATAATATCATTGTATAAAAAAAACGATTCTGAGCGAAGACGGTATGTGTCAGTCTAGGTTTAAGACAAATTATATACATATCTATGGTATTAAAAAAAAAATTGACCTATAATAAATTCCAAATTAATCATATCACATTATCACAATATCCATTAGGTACTTATATAACACGTTATACATCAACATCAATAACAAACCTTGATACTATCATAGATATATAATAGTACACTTTAGAAGTTTCAAGTAGGTACCCACGAATAATATTATATAATCACAACAAAATAACTAGGTTTTTTAATATGTAATTTAGTCCAAATTTGAACTTAAAATGACTATAAAAATAAACTGTGATTGTATATTTTTTATATTCTTCGGTAAGAGAATTAACTTCTTACGTACAATCTTGTTTTAAATTTTCAATCCTTAGCTATAAAAACTGAACATTTTATAATTTATTAATTACGATGATTAATAATTTTTGAGATTTTGAAAAATTCTGTCAAAATTCGATGTTTG